AGGAAGGGACGGGATGAAACCCCGAAATGATTGCATGCCAACTCTGCGTACCATCCAGCTTTCCGTGAACACGTGAGTGGCAATGGTGGTTCCTCCACACCACGGACACTGGCCAACACACTTGTGATCTTGCTGCTTCCGCTTGTACTGACAATACAGCCAATACACTGACGTCTTCATGAAAAAACCCACTGGAATCTTGACCTTTGTGCCAGGAAATTAAAATCTCCAGCCTCAGTACGCCGCTCAGTGCGAACACAGGTCCATGCGGCCATGCGGTGGGATTGAGAGTGGGTTGAGTGATGTGCTTTGCGAATTTTTCGGCGCGAAGCGTGTGCTTTTGTCCACTTCTCTTGGCCCCAGGCCCGCCGTCGCGAGGTAAGGACTCCTTGATTTTCGACATCTGAGACCCTCTGCTCGTGTCGCTCTGCTGCAGGACAGCTCTCATGAATCTGAATCTACATCTTCGGCTGCCTCATCTCAGGTCCTTTAACGATACGGATACGCAAGCCGGGGACTCAAGATTTAGAAATGGGGGGACTTCGGATCGGTCCTGGCGGAGCAGGAGCCGCGCGAAGTCCTGAAAGCGCACGGAGCTGTCGGACCTAAAAGTGAGCTCTTCGGGCTCATGGCTTGAACTCGATTTGTCTAATGTTGCAAGTGTGACAAATGTGGCATTGCTTGAGTGGCACGTTTGTGGGACTGTTGTAGGGCCCAGGCTCGTGTGTTCGGATCATCTTCTCCAACTCGGGTGTCAGTGTCACTCCGAAGCCTGGTCCGTTGAACACGTTTACCGCCCCACAACGTGGCATATCCGACATGTCCGACACGTGGAAGAAAAGGTGCTCCGGGACTCTGGGCGCTGGAGCTGCAGGCGGAACGTCACCTCGGAGAACATGCAAAGAACAGGTGAATGGAAAAAGCGAAAAAGCAGTCGGAAGCCGAGCAGCTGCTGGGATATGACCATCCACAAAGTCACAAAGGGCCTGCGCACTGCGTGGACAAGTCTTTTGTATCCCTGATTCCCCCCCCCCAGCTTCCCCAGCTTCCCCAGCTTCCCCAGCTTCCCCAGCTTCCCCAGCTTCCCCGGCCGCCTGGCGAAGGGACGCAGGGTTCGCCCTGAAAACCACTTGAGAGGCCAGGGCATGACATCATAAATGACTCAATAGTGACCAAAGGCCAAAAGCCATAAAAAAAAACATGAGAACCGTCACTGCGTCACTCCGAAAGCAGACACCAAGCCCGGGGCAGCTCGTCACAGAGACTGTCAGGTTACAAGAGTGTTTCTCATCTCAAGTGTTCTCTCTCTCTTTGAATCTCTAGACTCACTCGACCTTCGGCACACATGTATCCGGAGTGCGGCTGTCTGCAGATGTTCACAGCTTCAAAGAAAAGCGCTCAAATGGAGATGAGGAAAGCACATGACAAATCCGCCGAGGCCGGCGGAAACCCCATCAAATCCCCAGCCGCGTGCCCACTTCACTTTGGCTGGTTGCTGCTAGGGCCTCTAGGGGTTCCACCACCGCTTTGGAGGACCTCCCCTCTGCTTCCAGCCTTTTTAAAATGTGTCTTCCCACCTAAACCCAAAGCTCAACAACACCGAAGTCCGTACACTCACAATCGGCTTCAATGAGCCACTCCAGCGCAGCAACCCGCACAGTCCCCCGAGTTGGACTTTTCAACAACCAACTCACCACAGTCATCACAGTTGCGAGGCAATCAAAACGAAGTCGCACAAGATGACCATGTGCAGTATGCAGTGAAAAAAACTAGAAAACGATTGGCCCGAAAGCATCGATCTGCCGTGCATTGACTCTATGCACTTCACTCTATCACTTGAACAACTGTGTGCACTTATACGGTTGTATATTCTGTGCACCGCACTTCTCTGCACTTCAACTGCACGGCATTCACATTCGAATCCCACGATATTTGCGAGGTTGTCGACGCCCCGAATTCGAGCACAACGGTATTTGCGATGGACGATATTTGCGAGGTTTCGGTTTCGATATCCGGGAATTCGCGTCCCACGATATTTGCGAGGTTTTCGAGGCCGCGGAATTCGAGTCACGATATTTGCGAGGGTTTCGATATCCCAGATTTCGAGTCCCACGATATTTGCGAGGTTCTCGAGGCCGCGGAATTCGAGTCCCACGAGATTTGCGAGGGCTTCGACATCCCGGAATTCGAGTCCCGCGACGCTTTCGACGCCCCGGACTTCGAGTCCCACGATATTTGCAAAAATTTCGGCCCCGGAATTCGAGTCCCACGATATTTGCGAGGGTTTCGATATCCCGGAATTCGAGTCCCATGATATTTGCGAGGGTTTCGAAAACCCGGAATTCAAGTCCCACGATATTTGCGAGGGTTTCGGCATCCCGGAATTCGAGTCCCACGATATTTGCGAGGTTTTCGAGGCCCCGGAATTGGAGTCCCACGATATTTGCGAGGGTTTCGATATCCCGGAATTCGAGTCCCATGATATTCGCGAGGGTTTCGATATCCCGGACTTCGAGTCCCACGATATTTCCACGTTAGCTCCGAGTGTGCCCGGCGTACTGCATCTGTACTACAACAACCGACTTTCCAGCCACGGAAGCTCCGGGTATCCCCAGCGTACTACGTCTCGTCTGTACTACAATCGGGAAGTCTGATGGGTGACCTTTGTTAAGGGGGCCCCTTGCTTGGAGCAATCGGTGTTTTATGTTCCTTGCTGTTGTGTGTGTGTGTGTGTGCGCGCGTGTGTGTGTGTGTGTACCGTGATGTAGATCTTGAAGACCACCGCCATCACGGAGAGGAGATCCACCTGGGCACTGGGGACAAATTGAAAAAGTTCGGCGTGTGCACTCTCCAACTCATCAGTTCCTGCTGCTGCTGTGCTTCTCCCTAAGTCAACTGAGTACATGATCGATTCTTTTCTCGCTCTGGGCGCCAGTCTCAGCGATAGTCACAGCTGCAATCCGCGTCCGGGTGCTTGCAGAGGTCATAAGAAATTCGGTCCCGATCCTCCAAGTAGTCCACAAAATAGAATCGTGCGCAAAAAGCGCACAGATAATCTGTCTGGATAAGCCGAACAGCAGAAACGACTCGGTCCCTTGGCTTCTGCAAGAGTTCGCTCAATACCAGGCACTGCTGTGCTGCGGTCGGGCCCGGCATTGTTGTGGTCATGCTAGACGATGGCGGCGGTGTCGTCGAGCTGGATTGCAGTTTCGGCATGTTTGGAGGATGGATACGAGGATGACAAAATGTGGAGCCTAAACTCTGCGACATAGGAGCTTGATTGGCAACACACGACAATGTACAGCAAACATGGGGTTATGCTCGCAAGGGTCACGTTGTACTACGTTCATGTGTGCTCTCGTGTAATGTTTCGGGCTGGTTGAGTTGCACGTGCAAGCCAAGGGTTCAGGTTTTTGGGGCTTATCCTCAAGTTTCGGCGCTCACGCTCGGACGGACCGGGCGAGGCATACGGTTTTCGGGTTTAGGGTTTAAGGTTTACGGAGGGTTTAAGAGTTGAAGACGTTTTCATGGCCGCTCAGCCGACAACCTGCTGAAAGTCAAACGGGCACGGTTGGCCCGTCTCCCGGCTGTACACGCCCCAGGCCTGCACCAGCAGACCCCGCAGGCAAGCATTATCGGACCCAGGCACATTCACAGGGAAATTCCGGGCACGCATCGAGCCGTCGGGGTAAGAAAGCTTCCACCGATGATGCCAAACAGATTCCTTGCTGATTTTGAAGCCTGGTGGCAAAAGCCGCTTAGCGTCGGCTTGTGAATACCCTGAGTCGGGCCATTCCAAAGCCTTCCTGCGCTGGGCAGGGTCGGCAGCATTTCCTTGACAGAGGGCAGGTACTTATTTCCCATAGAAACTGGTACGCAAGAATCAATAATGGATGAAAACACTGGACCTTATGATGGAATAATTGATGCCCCTGTTATGAAATACATTTCGCAAGAAGGCCTGAAAGCCTCGACACCATGGCAACTGATGCTGAAGTCGTGCAAGTCTCGGTTAGCATTTTGATCTCTCGGATTACGTGGATTGTTTGCAGCTGCCTCCTGAGCCTGAGCTGCCTTGGCATTGTCTGCAGCAGCCCGAGCTTCCCGGGCCATTTTGGCCACGCGCTTTCGTTTGCATTCGTCCAGCTCTGCTTGAAGCTCGGCATCCTGAAAATCGTCCCCATCCCCCGCTTCCTCCTCGAGCAATTCCTCCAGCTGCATCAATTGCTCAACCTGGACATCGTCTTCGCATGAGCTTCTGCTTTTCACAGCTGCTGCAAGGTTCTCCTCAGACGCTTGCCCCTCGAGGATGTGTCTTGCCAGTGCTCGGACCCAGCCGACTTCGTTGGAAGGTTGTGCACCAGGAACTCCCAAGAGCTTGCGGAGCTTTTTCAACCAGAACACAGTCATTCTCGGAAAGCCGCGCAACGCACTGTACTTGAGGAGGGCTTGGCCCGTTTCATGGTGCACACGAAGGCGAATGAGACCATCATCTGCCTTCGCCGGTTCTACCAGAATGCATCGCCAGTCCTCATGAGATGTGATCACTTCGAAGCCCATGGCATCTTCTGGAAAGTCCTCAAGAGACAAGAAGTGCTTGTCACCTTGTTTTACAGTGCCACATCGCAAGCCCGAGAAACCATATGGTGTCGTGTGCACAACAAGGCGTGAGATTCTTCTTCTGCAATGCCAGACGAGTGCCCCAGGTGGAACAAGGAGTGATTGCCAGGCCCGTGTGAAATCGTCCCAAGTTGTTGCAACGCGGCCCAGCAAAGTGAGGCATGCCACTTCCTAACCAATCGAAATGAGCTGCTATGACTCAATCACAAATGATGCATGGTTCAGAAATGTGGCCGTCAAACAACTGCATCCAAAAAACTTGCTGAAGTTACACCAATGCAGAGGCCTTATATTAAGAATGACTCCAAGGTTCTTTGTGTCGTCGGGCCGAGTGGTTCGGCCATGTAGGGGTCTTGTCACCAAGCTGACTCCTGACACTTTCAGGGAGCGTGCACTGCTCTGGATCGTTGCAAGCAAAAACCATTGCGTGGGAGCGATTTCGGACCCGAAGTGGAAGCAGTCGGGGCACTCGAACCTTTCACTGGCAGGGTGGGCCGGTCAAAATCGGCAGGGAGCCTGGATGCCATGGACAGCTGGTGCCAGAGGGCCTTGCCTTCTGCCCGGCCCTGCATGTTGGAGCGACACTTTGCGCGGGCTTCGCGAATGAGATTTTCGATGTAGAGTGTCGCGTTCATGCCCAGTGCATACTGTCTCAGCTCTTCTTTGAGAAAGCTGTAGACTTGTGCCTCTTCGAAATCACACTCCAGCAGCTGCACGAAGTTCTCGCGGACCCATGTTTGCTGAGGCCATTCCATGGCCCGGTGAACTGGGACCATGGACTTCTTTGCCGCATGGTTGCCGTTGATCCAGCTCTCTAATCGGTCCAGGTTGTCCCAGTCCTGCTTGAATTGGACCAGGGCCTTCTTTCGGATCTCGCAGCTCGGATCTACCAGCAGCACAAAGCTCTTCGGGGGAACAGCGTACTTCACTTGCGTCAGCGCAAGCTCCCCGCACAGCGTGACTGTGAACTTCCAGAACACACGTGCATCGGCTTCGTCCGCCACTGTCCACTCGGGCCCGATCCAGCTTTGCAGCGTTTCCTGGATCACCCGCGTCAGTCCTTGTCGGGCCATATCCTGCATCAACTCCGCAGTTCCCCACTTCGTCTTCAACATTGTCATAGCACCTTTGAAGAATCGTTCCAGGGGCTGTGACAAAATCATGCATCCATCCACGAGTCGCAGCGAGCGCCGTCTGCAAAGGATGTCAACTGCATAGCGGAGTGTAGCCGACAAGGTCTTCTGCTGCCTTTTCCGATTGATGAGCTTACGTCCACGGGCCACAGTGACCCTTTTGGCGGTCGGACCGTCCGCGATGTTGTCCGGCTCCTCACCATCCTCTGCCTCTTCCCCTTGCTCTTCCGCCGCTTCCGCTTCGTCATCCTCCTCATCGACATCTTCTTGGGGAGCATTGGTATTCGGCGGACCAGTGAAAACAGGTGAATCATCAAGACTTTTCCACCAATTTTTCTTGATCCCAAGGTACACAAGAAGCATCAGGGTCATCGTGCGAAGGTGTCGCTGTTGCCGGCGCAGCTCTTCTATACTGAACCATCGCGAGTTCTTCGGGCAATGTCCCATGTTGGCATTACACAACTCAGTCCTGCATATCTCCCAGACCTTTTGGTAATGCTCATCGGACCCTTCAGCTTCCAATCCGAGATCTTCTGAGATCTCTTCATAGAAGAGCTGCAGCAAACCATTGCGGTGGTCCATCGTGCCAAACATATCTCGGGCTGTGGAGAGCAAAGTCTCGCGGTGCCCTTGTCGATTGTAGGGACCACGCCGAATGGACATCAATGTTGCGTGCTCTAATCGAGCCAAAGTCATCCCGGAGTTGCCCCACGCCTCCGCCAAGTCGTTGATCAGGCGATGGCATAAATCCCAAGTGACAGTGCCACGAAAATCGGTCCCCTGAACCAAAAAAACGCCGGCGTACCAGGAAGAGCTGCCTTGATCCTGGGCCAAATGCAGCGTAGGTCGGACTAACACGCCTTGCTGCACGCGGACCGGCACTTCATAGGTTCTCGTGCCATCCGCCAAAAGCACACAACTCCGCTTGCGAGGCTGGCCAGAAATCGGACATGCCATTTCGGTCATGTACCGTTTCGCGCCTGCTGGAAGCATCCCGCAAGGACGCGATGGCACGAAGGCAGATAAGCCCCAACCATTCACTCGAACCAAAGCCCAGTCCAGGGCCAGCAAGTGTTTCAGGTTGGCCTGCCGATTTTCAGGGGACGGATCCTTCATAATTTTCATGAAGAGTCGGACCTCCTCCTCCAGATTCTTGGCCTGTAGCCGAGCTTCCGGCCCTGGGTTTTGCAGGCTCCGTTGAAGCTTTTTGCTCTGTGAAAGTCCGAGATCCTCAGCGTGTGAAACTCCAAACCCAATAATTGGCGCAGTCTGGCGCACGATGATTTATTCATTGTGTTGCCACAAACCCCAATTTACATCGGCAAGTCAGTATGTAAATTAAATCACCAGAAACCAAAACACACAACACGAAACTTCTCAAAGCAATGGCTCCTGTGGTGGCAACACGAGGTTCTTCTCAGGCCCCATGCTTTGTGCAATGAACAGCCAGTCACGTGCTGGCTTCCCCATCCGTGCACCATCGAGAGCCAGGGAGACGACACCAACCTGACCGAAAGAGGACTGGGCTGATGCTTGTAGCTGGATTAGGGCACACTCTATCCACCGGAACGCAGTCTTCTCGCCCGCGACCTGCATGGCCTTGTTGAAGGTTCCAGCCTTGTCAGCGCGCCCCTCTTGCAGAACAGACTGAACCGCAGCCTCCTTGAAGTGCGGGTCCAATCTGCGCTTTTTGTTCTTCGGGCCAAGCAAGACCAAACCAGCAGATTTCAAGAAGTCAGCAGCCGCCCAATCTGAGAAGCATGCAACAATGACATCACTGATGCCCTTGAGCATGCGAGCTGTGAGCGCACCGACTGCGGGGCAGTGATCAAACTCGAAAGCCAACGCAATTCTGCTCCAAACTTGAGCATGAGGCATTGTGTCATCTGCTATTTCCATAGCTCCCAACATTTGCCGAAATTCTTGCATGCAGCCGCACTCGTGCCTCTCTGCAGTCAGCCGTTTGCAGAGCTCCGTTTCCGCAGTGGTGGGCTCTGGAAGGTGACCGAATCCACCTGAACAGGGATCAGGTCTGAGAGCACGCAATGTTTGTTTGGGTGACCGTCGTCTTTGACAGCTCAGGCTAAGATTCAAACTTAGCACACCAGTCATGTGTTCTTCTTCTGCTGCTTCCTGAAATCAATGGAATTTTGTTTTAATCATGTCCAACTATTCCAGTCTTGACTTGCGCCTGGCCATCGGTGCTTTGGGCACAAAATCTGGAAAATGGTCTTGGCAAGAGCTCCAACTTCGTCCCTGTTTTGAACTTCTCGTCTCCGCTGCTGCCATTGCAGCAGAAGACCCAGCATCCACTGTGTGCTGACCCAATACTCCTCCTCCTCCGCTGAGCCACCACCGACCTGGACTCCTCTGGCCCGAGAGCTATGCAGCGAGTGACCATAGGAATGCTCTGCTCCTGGCATCGACAGCCATCCCAGGGTCGTGTCCCACAGATCTCGCTGGCTCTTGAACACGTTGCACACTTTGGTGCGGTGACTGTCGCAACGATACCCCGCGGCTAGCAGCAACCTGCGCAGTTCCCACCTCAACTCGGACTGGTGAGGCCAACACTTCAAGCAGATGGCTCGCGATGTGCCATTTGGCATCAGCACCTGTGCCTCCACTGTTGTCGGCCGCAACGGGTCCGTTGCCTGGTCACTGCCCCGCCTTGCAGTGACAATCTGGCCCTCAGGCCGAGACTTTGAGGAGTCACTCATTGCCGATGTAATCGGGCCGATCTAAGCTCCCTTACTCAATCGTCTTCCAATGAAAACTGTCTCTGTTGCTTGCTCATAACTGATAGTCCATGTACACACTGAGCAGGAGCAAGCTGCAAAGAAAGCAACAGACTTCAAGCTGTCTGAGACCGCAAAGTGTGCAAGGACCAAAGTCACAACAGTCTTAACGCTGGGATCCCAGCAGGCTGCTGAACTGCAAGCTCCAGGCATGAGCACATCTCCTTGCTCAATTCTCAAACAGCACTCACTACACATGCAGACACATTCGCCGTTACAGCAACGCGAAAACACTACATGCACATAACATGGACCTCTGCAGATGCCCAATCCAATTCATCCAAGCAAGGCAACCTGATGAGAAAAACAAATAAGAATGGCCTGCTCCTGAAGCGCCCACACGTCACATCCGAGACCTTGGCTGTGCGTGATAGAGGTGCCACGGTACATGCATGCCTCGACTCTGGCGGCGACAACCTAGCTTTTTTTCTCTCACCGTTTAATCTCGGCCCCTGCAAGTGACGCAAAATGTTGGAAGCCATAGCATTCGACATGGCTTCCAGGCCCCGACACAACTGACACAACTTTTGGTCAAGTTGCACAACTCCGAGGGATCCGCAGCAGAATTGCAAGCTCCATGGAGACTTTATTGAATCTTGCGGCGTCTCAAACTTTGGTTTGGAAAGATATGAGCTCACAATCGGACCGTCGGATACCCGGAGTCTTCATCCCCGTACTTCACCCCTACATTTACACATGAAAATAAATCCGGCCTTGGCTCATGTGAGACTCTCCACTAGAAGCTTTGCGAAGTCTTTGCAGAACTCGGGCGGGTACGAGCTGGCCTCAACTGTCTTGAAGTTGCCATGGGTGCCCTTGCCATTCGGACCAGTCGGACCCTTGCCAAAGCCCTGCAGTCGCTCGTGCTTCTTGCCGGTGGCCTGGCAACGCCGGCCCTTGCACTTGCGCAGGCCTTTGGCAAGGGTCGACGACAGTCGGCCCCGGCCCCACATGGCGAGCGATGTGGCCTTCTTCCACGGCTTCCCGTACTGGCAAGCGTGAAATGTCCCGAAGGCGAACTCGGACCCGTCGGACCTGGTCATGAGCTCCTTCAACTCGGGCAGATCCCACATCCGGGACGTGCGTGGATTTTCCAAGACCACGCACGTCCCGGATAGTCGGGCCTGTCGAAGGATCTTCATGGCCCACTTCACCAGGTCATTGCCATGGTCGAGCTTCTTCAGCTCCGAGGCCGTCAAATCGGACCGGGGGAGCCCCCACGGGCGCTCGTTGCTCCGTAGCGGAGCTGGAAACCCCCCACGCCGTCCAATCGTACCGGCCTGGCGCTTTCCTCGCCTTGCGCGGGACCAGCTGGAGCACGTGAGCCCAAGCCACAAGCAGGCCACTCGGCCCGCCCGAATCAATGACAGCAGCAGCTCCAGACACTCGGGCTGCAAGACGTCTTCATTCCGACCGCCACGGGAAATCTCAAAGCTCCATGTGGGAACTCCAGCCTCAGCAACCGCCCTGGAAAGTCGACATGTTCCGGCACATACCTCTATGAAGAGTTGGGCTGTCACGGCTGTTCTCACCATTTCATGCACAAAGCCTGAAACCCCCAGCGCTCGCTGCAGCTTGGCCCGGGCATGCCATGGTTTCCTCAATGGCTTCCCTTGTCCTTTTCTCGACGATGCCATCATCATGTCCACGGCTCTTTGTCTTTCTTGCTGCCTTCGGCCCGGTGCGCTTACTGCTCACTGGCCGTGCTGCAGCTGCAAAGCACTGCGCACAGCCCTCCAAGAAGCAGCCGCAAGTTGCCAGGCTCGGGCCAGTGCTCTCTGGCCGTGCTGCAGCTGCAAAGCACTTCGCACAGCCCTCCAAGAAGCAGCCGCAAGTTGCCAGGCTCGGGCCAGTGCTCTCTGGCCGTGCTGCAGCTGCAAAGCACTGCGCACAGCCATCCAAGAAGCAGCCGCAAGTTGCCAGGCTCGGGCCAGAGCTCGGACTGGAGCCCAGGGCTGTCCGCTTCGGAGGTGGAGTTGGGCCTTGCTTCTCCTTCGGACCGGTCAGCTTACGGTTCTTCGAGGGTGCTGCAGCTGCAAAGCACTTCGCACAGCCCTCCAAGAAGCAGCCGCAGCTTCCAGAGCTCGGACTGGAGCCCAGGCTCGCTGTCTGCTTCTTTCGTGGAGTTGGGCCCTGCTTCTCGTTGTGCTTCGGCGGTGCTGCGCCTCCAAAGCAGTCTGCGCAGCCTTCGAAGAAGCAGCCACACAGACGCTGCTTCTGACTGCAGGACATTGTCACCGCCTAGTCGGGCCAGCGCGGATCTGTCTCTGTGCCGGACTGAGCCAAAAGTGCACTTGTCATAGAGGACCTACCATGATGAGTCTCAACACCACTTGTCACGTATGACTTAGATTAGATGCCACGCTTCGTCATGTTCCTAGCTGCTTACTCGCTCTCTTGAGACAGACTGATGCGAATCTTGGTGCCAGGCACAAGCATCTTCCTCGAAAGGCTCGTCCCACCGGCCACGCAAGGACCTCATGACTTTCAAAATCACGTCGACCGAGCTTGGGGCAAGCTGCCCGCGCAGAATTGAGGTTTACATGCCCTTGGCTGTCAATACAACATCGATGTCTTGAAAAGTGCACTTGTCATAGAGGACCTACCATGATGAGTCTCAACACCACTTGTCACGTATGACTTAGATTAGATGCCACGCTTCGTCATGTTCCTAGCTGCTTACTCGCTCTCTTGAGACAGACTGATGCGAATCTTGGTGCCAGGCACAAGCATCTTCCTCGAAAGGCTCGTCCCACCGGCCACGCAAGGACCTCATGACTTTCAAAATCACGTCGACCGAGCTTGGGGGCAAGCTGCCCGCGCAGAATTGAGGTTTACATGCCCCTGGCTGTCAATGAAACATCGATGATGTCTTGATTTTCCTTTCCTCATGGGCCGCTGCAGTGGTTCCTGCTGTCGTATCGCTTTGGGCCGCTGAAATATCAAGATGCCGAAGGGCACAGTTCATGAGGATGATTGCACTAATAATGAATGAACTCGGGCCCAAAGCTGAACGCAGCGGGTTCGAGCGTTTGTCGGACCCTAGATTTCGGGCCCTAGTCATCAGGCTCCACCACCTCACAGTCATTCTCCTCCTCCTCCTTGCAGGGCTTGGAAGCATGAGCTGGGCGGAGCAGTGCAAGGGGATTACTTGACAGGAACATTTCTACGCAGCTGGGCTAGGGCTATAACACATAACACTGCAGATCCTCCGCTTCATCTTCATTCTTCGGGCCTTCAGCCTCCTGCGTCTTCGCACGCTTTCCATTCTTGGCCTTGGTTTCAACTCAACCCTCCCATGAAGTATTTATGAATAGGAACCTCTGTAGGACCCTTTTGCATAGATAGGATTTGAACATGTCCGAATAGTGCCACGTAGTTGCCTTCGCCTGAGTCTTCGGAGCGCGCTTTCGTGTTGGTTTTGCCACCAGCCTCACTTGGGCAAAGGAACATCCGCTTCAGGTTGAATTCTTGAATAGGAGGCAGAATGACGCGCGTAAGGTTACGAATAGACACACTACAGCAAAACAAAAAGCGATAGACGAAGGATTGCACAGCTCTCAACCCTGAGAGTCTACACTCCACTGCGAGCACACAGACATGACAGTGATGATGCCGACAAGCAGCTCCGGTGGCTCAAACCACAAGACATTGTTATAGCTGATCAGCACCTCGCGGCCCTTGGGAATTTGCTTTGTGACCTTCAAAAATAAGAAGCGCTGCCCTCTGCCGTTGGCCGGGTAACAAACGAGCTGTGCATTCGGGCCCTTTGCAAGCCCGTGGAAATCGTTCACGAATCCTCCGATGGAAGTGAGGACTCTGAAGCTGGAGCTCACGCACTCGGCGTCACCACAAAAATCTGGGATCTCCACCACTCGCTCGAGGAAGCTGGGCTGCCCTGTAGTCGTCACGTAGGCCACGACCTCATCCCAGGTCTGGAAGTCTGGCCTCAATCAGAACAATCACACCCCAAAATCAAACTTGCAATCAGAGTTTCTGGTTTAGGGTTTCGGGGCTTCCAGCTTTAGGCGTTGAGGGTGGGCTGTTTGCCACGGCCTTCAACCTTCCAGGATGTGTTTACCCTTTAGGTGATCTATCTCACGCAGAGTCGCCCCACCATTGGCAGCTCGTGACCACGCTTCAGTGACGCTGCAGCGATCAATCCGCATTTGGCCTCTGCGTTTTCAGGGCTGGCCGCAACGTTGAGCTTGTAGCGGGCCATCTGGTGCAGGTTCCGCTTGCGCACGACCGCTTGGCTGGCGTCACTGATCGGGCCCAGCTCCTCTGCATCGGAGGCTTCGAGGATCTCCTTGGACAGCTCGGTTTCCATGGGCTCACATCGAATCGTTTTGAATCCGGCTTCTTCCTTCTCTGGCTCGACAGTTTCCCCCTCCTCATCAGGCTCCGAAGCCACTCGCTCCAGGATCCTTGTCCTTGCCTTCTTGCCACGTGCATTCACTCCTCCACCAGCTGCTGCAGCAAGTGTCTTCCTGGGACGCTACAAATCCTATTCCGCCAACCACTTAAGTAACTTACTTTAAAAAATCAGGCATGACAGTAAGCAAGTCAAATGAGGATCATCTTCTGCTCTCGTTTCTTCACGAAGTCTTCTCGGACCGTGAAGACGTACTTGCAGAAGTTGTGCAGCTGGAACATTTTGCGTGAGCTTTTGGAAAAGAAAGTTGTCTCATCATCCGGCACAGGAAGTGGCAGAAAGAGGCAGCACGGGGTTCCGGCCAAAGAAAACTCCGCCTCGTTGTACGCAAGCACAGCCGCCGTTAGCCCTGGGCCTGGGCAAACAATTGCGTGCAACGCATTCAATCATGGTGGCAAAGCCGGCTTGTACTGATTTCAGTTTCCATGGCACTGCTGAGGCGGCCCAGTGGCATATGACTGGCGTAGCGAGGACAACACTCCCCGGC